CCAATGCAGGGCTCGATGCCAGGACTCTGGGATCATGACCTGAGCCTAAGGCAGAGGCTTTAACCCACTGAGCCACCCAGGCAGTCCATATTTCTTGTTTCTTTTAATTCTGAACTGTGATAGGATGTATCATTTCTATTTTCAGTCGAAGATGTTTAAGCTCAGAGAAGTGAGGCAACTTGCCCAAGGGCACACAGCAAGCCTCTGGAGTGAATTTGGGAATCAAATCTGCATCTGTCTGTCTGGCTCTTAAAGCTGTGTCCTTCACACTGGCCCACATGACCTTGCAGCGTGCTTGGCTGCCTGGTGGGGAGAGGAAAATAGGACTGGGCAGGTCAGCAGGGGCCAGCACGTGCCGGGCCCCGAGGTTTACACTGGTAGCAGTACGGAGCCAAAGAAGATTCCTTAGCGGTGGGGGTGGTTTGAGCTGGGCTCCCAGAGGATCACTTTGGAGGCTACAGAAGAGAATCAGGCTCGAGGGTGGGGAATGGATGTGCAAAGGAACAATTAGAAGGTGGTGTGAAGACTGGATCACAGTAGCAAGTGTGAGGGGCTTTGGGGAATGAGTAGGTAGGCGGAAGTGACTCGAGGGCCCATGGGAATGAAGAAAGGCGTCTCTGAGGAGGTCCCAGTTGGACTGCATTGTGTTAGAGCCAGCGTGGTTCAGAAGAAAGAGCGTGGCCGCCGGAGGAGTCAGGCAGACCTGGGTTCGAATGGCACTCAGGCTCTCTGTGGCATGGGACCTCAGAGCCGCGGTCCCTGTCAGTAACATGGGAGAACCTACGCTCGTGAGCATGAGATGAGGTGAGGGTCCATGGGTGCACGGTGACTGGCAGGGAGGGGATGTGTAGTAAACGTTGCCTCATTCAGAACCAAACACAACAGTTAAGAGCTCATCAGGGGTTGAGCAGGGACGTGGGTTCTGGGCAGTAGGTCCCTCCTGCCCAGGGCAGGCTCCTGTATGACAAAGCCCACAGACTGCAGGGCTGTGAGCATCTGAGCCCCGGATCCTCCAAGCTTGTGCTGCTCCATGGACAAGACACTTGGGAGTTCCGGAGGGCACTCACACCTCCTCCTGGACCCCTTCTTGTGCTGTTGGCTCAGCGGCCTCTTAGATTCCCCCGGTGGTGGGCCTCGAGCCGTCTGGGCCTGTCCACAGTATAGGCTGAGTAAACGTGGTTTCGGTAGTGACTTCTCTGGTCTTACCTGTGTTCCTCCCCTTCCGGTAGAACTGCCTCTCACCTGTGGGGATGAATTGCTGGCTTCCCTTTGGAGGGAAGTGGGGTGGGGATGGAAGGGAGGGCAGTCCACGTAGGCCCCGTGGCCTTGGGGTTGTCCCCTCCCCTCTCTGGTCAAGCGCAGAAGGCCACAAGAGGGACTCAAGAGCTGGGCCTGGGACATGTTCTGATTTTCAAATCGGGTGCATTCTAGAAACCACCACCGTCACCTCTGGTTCTTTCTTGGGGCTGGCCAGCAAAGGGTTGGCGCCCGGTTTGTAGAGGCCGTGGAGACCCTGGGCAGTGGTGGGGGTCCACGGCAAGCGGGTCAGACAGCTCTCTCATTGCGTCCAGGTTTGCTGGCCCCAGAAGGATGGTCTAGACACCAAAGCAGGAGCTGAATGAGGGGATTCTCAGCTGGATTGGTGATAGGGCGGGCAGCTGCAGTGTTTACTAGGACACGGGTGTCAGGATGGGGGCTGGTCTAGGCAAAGGAGTGCTGGGTGGGGCTGATACTCAAGGCTTACAAGGGACCATTTCCAGCGACCCCTGTGGGGTTGGGGGGAGAAGCTGGGAGTGGCATGTTCATTGGTGTTCACTGGTATGCCTTTGGGCCTTCTCCGGGGCCAGCATGCACTGTGCTCAGGGAGCCAGCTTCCAAGACCTTCCTCCAAAGGGGTCCACGGGCGCGGGGAGGTTCGGACGGTTGGAAGGCAAAATCCTCCGTGGGGACAGGGCCCACAGTGGAGGGGACAGCTGACGCTGCCCAGGGAGTGGGGGACGAGGAGGGCTTCACAAATGAGAGGCCGCATAAGCTGGGTTTTGAACCTCAGGTAGGAGCTTTCGAGGTGAAAAAGGTGGGAAACCAGCAGGTAGATATTTGAGAAGAAATGGTGGTCCGATTCTGGATGGGCTGAATTGGAGGACCCCTCCTCAGGAGACCTGTTCAGGAGGCAGGAGGCAACAGGGGAGTGAAGCCCAGCGTGGGGGTGCTGCAGGGGTGCCCCGGGAACAGCCACTCAGAGGGGCTAAGTCAAACCTGGGGGGTGCAGCGGAAACCCGACGAAACGTGGCTGCCCCATGTGGGAAGCAGCAGGAAGACAGAGCGGTCAGGGAGACTGGGACAGAGGCCGGACAGGTAGGAGAGAACCAGGAGAGTTGGGGAGGATGGGAGTGTTCCCAGGTAGGAAGAGTCAATGGGACCCCATGCTGGCATGGGGTCAAGTGGGACGAAGCCAGCGGCCGTAGGACTGAGCAATAAAGAGGGTGCTGATGACTTTGTCAGGAACAGTTTCAGCATAAAGATGTGGTCAGAAGCCAGACTGCGGTGGATTACCAGGCGAGGTGACATTTTGCGCCAGCATATGAGTGGCAGGTGAGAAACCAGAGTGCCAGCTGTGGAACACTTATCGATGGGGAGGAGGAGTGGGGTGGGGCACAGTGGCTAGTGGAGGAAGGAGGGTTGAAGTAGGGCTCTCCCAGAATGGAGGTCCATTTGGGGGCTGCCATGAGAAGCCCGCGCTGACCAAATGCTGAGCCAGAGGGTCATAGTTGGAGCCCTCCTGGACAGTGGGTGGGATGGGGTAGGAGCGGGGAATGCTGGGCCAGGCCAGGGTGGGGGGCTGGCCTTTGTAAGAGGGACTGCAGGGAATTTGGGAGTTGGAGAGGTAGGACAAAAAGTCAGGGCCCAGGGTTGGGAGAGGGGTTCTTAGGTCACGGCGCCTGCTTTCTCTGTAAAGGAGCTCCTTGCAGAGAGCAAGGGGGCAGAGATGAGCTCAAGGAGAGAGGTCAAGGTCTGGCACAGCTAAGGTGGGAAAGGGGAAGGCAGGGAGCTGGGGAGTGCTGCTGAGAAGCCCCAGGCGCCCGGACGGATATGCAGCCCTGAATCTGTCCTGGTGCCAGTTGGCACAGCTGTGGATTTCTTCAGCAGCCTGGGGGTGGGCGTGGAGAAGGCGGCTTGTCACAAGGCTCCGAGGCTGGGGACTGGCTGAGCGGGTGTGGTGGAAGGGCTGGGTGAGGGAATTTGGGAGTGTGCAAGCATGGCACGGGCACCCTCTCTGTGGTCCCACTGGAGGCAGGGTGCAAAGTGAGGCCGGGAGGAGTCGCAGATGCTGTTTGAAGGGAGGAGGCCCGGGGGCCGGAAGGGTGGCAAGCGAGGGTGCAGAAGAGAGGCAGGTTGTGAGGGGAGGGGGAGATGGTAAAAATAAGCCAGATGGGTCCTGCCTTCTGGAGTGCTCACCCCATGCCAAGCAGGGTGCTAAAGGCTTCATGGCCCCCTCTCAGGGAGTCCTCAAGTCAGCCTTCAAGGGAGGCAGTATTCCGAGAACTGTTCTACAGAGGTGAAAACAGAGTCAGAGAGGCAAAGACGCTTGCCCAAGGTCACACAGCATGTCAGGGCCGTGCCGCAGTTGGGATCCAGGATTGTCTGACTCCAGAGTTGTCCTGGGGGCCCAGGTTTCTGAGCTGGTGGAGAAGTTTTGGGGAAGGTATAGATTGAGTTCTGGGACTTGTGGCTGAAATGGAGGTAGGGGCCCCGGAGCTGATGAGACCAGAAGCTGGGTTGAGTGGCACTTCAAGGCCCCCTGCCCAGTGGGTTTGTTCAAGGTGGCCCTCTTCCTGCCTGGTCTGATAGAGCTTTCTCTCAGACGCAGAGCCTGGACTGGGCAGCAGGGGGCAGGAAGAGCATAGCCCTCCTGGGTTTCTTCAGACACCAGGCCTTCTTGGTGCTGACCTGGCTTTGGGATATAGAAGAGGGTCTGGGTCTGGGGGCCAGCAATACCTTCTAGTCCAGTGACAGCTTGGGCTGAGTCTTATCCCAAATGCTGCTCCTCCCTGCTCAGTAGCCTCTATATGGGCTGGGTCTTGCCCCTCTGTGTTTGTGTCAGCCCCCATCCGCACTGCCTAGCCTGTGGGAGAGGGCCTGGATGAGCTCATGTCTGAGCAGGAGGGGCCAGCTTTGGAGAATGGGAGCTCCCAGCCCCTCCTCCGGCACTGGTGGTGCCTCCAAGGCCTAGACCAGACACATAAATCAGGGTGGTCAGCTGAGAGCCTGGTGAGGCTGGGGCCGAGTTGGCAGCGGCCTCCATGAGCACCTGCTGTTCTCCCAACCGCAGGGGAAGTGGGGAGGAGGGTCTATGGGGTTGTAGGCACCTGCCTGAGGCCCTGGGGTCTTGGCGGAGCAGCATTCTGACCTGGGCCTCCGGGTCCCAGTCCAGGGCCGCATGGGAGCAGAATCCAGGCCTAACACTCAGCCCCTGGCTTGGTATGAATCATGTCCCAGCGACTGGTGTCGGTGGGGGGTGGGGGGTGGGGGTGGCTGTGGTTTGTCAGCCTGAGGACTCCCAGGGGAAAGCACCTGGGCCTCAGGCTCCCTCAGCTGTGTGCTCTTAGACAAGTCACGTCCCCTCTCTGGTCCTCAGTGTCCTCATCTTTAAACAGAGACGGTGGTCCCTGCGTCCCGGAGGAGGACTAGGGGAGCTAGGTGTGGGTAGCACATGGTCCAGAAGCCTCCTGGAGCCTGTTGATGTGAGCAGCCACTCCTCTCCGGTCTCCCTCAGTCCAGCTGAGGCGAGAGGAAGTTGTAAGACTGTGGGCAAGTCCCGCGTGGCCTTCTGAGTTGCCTTGTCTGTTAAATGGTGGTGGTGGGGCAGGGGCCATGACTTGCTTCGCCTATTGTCGGTTCCAGACCCTCGGGCTGAGGGCAAGCCAGGCCACCTTCTTTGCGCCTCTCCAGCAGGACAGAGCTCCCTTTGCTGAGCCCCTGCCACCCTCTCCGTGTTCCAGGTGAGGAGCCGGAAGAGGAACCCAAGGTGAAAACCCAGTGGCCAAGGTCTGCAGATGAGCCTGGGCTATACATGGCGCAGACAGGTAACTCGGGCCCGCCTCCCTTCCTCTGCGGCGGGGGCCCGATGGTGTGGTGTCTGGTGGCATGTGTGCTTGGCGTGTGCCCGTCTGTGTCTGTGTCCTAGAGCTCAGTCACATCTCTGCCACGTGAGGCCTGTGGGCAGGGCTGGGCGGCCTCCTTACGAGCCTGTCCCCTGGGGTCAGGGCAGGAGGATCCCTAGGAGGCTGAGTGCTTGGGAGGTGCCCCCTGCCGCCGACGCTGTCCCTCTCTCGTAGGCGACCCGGCGGCCGAGGAGTGGTCCCCGTGGAGCGTGTGTTCTCTGACGTGTGGGCAGGGTCTGCAGGTGCGGACCCGCTCCTGCGTGTCCTCCCCCTATGGGACCCTGTGCAGCGGGCCCCTGCGGGAGACCCGGCCCTGCAACAATTCGGCCACCTGCCCAGGTATGCCCGTCCTCCCACCCGCTCGGCCTGCAGGGGTAGGTCCGGCCTGGGGCTCGGGCAGATTTATCTGCCAAAGATGGTGGGTCGCCTCCTTTTTTAATTCAGCAAACTTGATTGTCCCCCACACCATGCCCAGCCCTACATAGGGCACTGGGGACACAGGTGAATCAGACCAGGGCCCACACTGGTGGGCTCAGTTCTGGGCCCCGAACTCTCCTGATGCCTGTGTCCCGGTAATCAAGGCTCATCTTTTTACCCTCATTGCCCTCTGTGTTCCCTGTGCTCTGGCCATACCAGTGCCTCTTGCACTCTCGTCTCCCAGCATTGGCTTATTCTCATCCTATCCCCACGTTGGCTGTTACAATTCAGCCTGCCCTTTAAGATCTAAGACAAATGCCACTTCTTTTTTTTTTTTTTCTTTCTAAATGAAACCTTGCCTGACCATCCCCTCCCTCCTCTGACTCCCCATCCCAGTCCCCAGGGAGCCTCCTCAGTCCAGCATGGAGTACTGAGAATGTTGCATGCGCCTGCCTGGGACAGGTGGTCCGCCAGGGGGAGGTGGGGGACCGCTTCCGCCAGTCCTGTTCCTTGTTCCCGGAGGGAGCGCAGCGGTGCCTAGGCCATGACCAGCTCCTGGCCAGGGACTTAGAATAGGGCTATCTGGGAAGGGGTCTTGGCACCCGGGGTGTGGCAAGAGCTTGCGGAAGGCTGGGGCCAAGCTGTGTTCCAGAGTGTGAGCTCTCTGTGTCAGTGTCCGTGTAGAGGTTTGTGTCTCTTTGTTTGTCCATGTGCTTGGGATCCGGAGGGGGCACTACTCTTGCCCCAGGCCTGTCATGTTGGATTCTTGCTTTGGGTCTGGGGATCGGGAGGGCTGGGGTGGGATAGGCTGGGGCGGATATGGAGACTTTTCCTGGGCTCTCCTGTGTCCCCAGGAGAGGAGGAGCCCGTCAGCCCTCCTGGGTCATTCCTAGTCTCCCTGTCCCGGTGTCCGCAGGAGGTATCCTGTGTGAGTTGGGACTAGAAGCCTGTGTCTTTGGCTCCCCCCCCCCCCCCAAGGGCGGAGTCCTGGGGACCAGTGTAGAGCCAATGAGGAGCTGTCGCAGAGCTGCCAGAGCTCCTGATTGGTGGGCGGATGGGTAGTGGGCGGATGGGCAGTGGGCGGGGCCAAGGTGCCGCCCAGCCACGGGCCACGTGCTTCCTTGCAGTGCACGGCGTGTGGGAGGAGTGGGGCTCCTGGAGCCTGTGCTCCCGCAGCTGCGGGCGGGGGTCCCGGAGCCGGATGCGGACCTGCGTGCCCCCCCAGCACGGCGGCAAGGCCTGCGAGGGTCCCGAGCTGCAGACTAAGCTCTGCAGTATGGCTGCCTGCCCGGGTCAGTAGTGCCCGTGGGCTGCCAGGCGGGCGCTGCCCAGCCGGGTGGGGGTCGGGAGACCCAGGGGAGGCAGTCAGGTCCAGTGCCCTGCCCCTGGGGGCCCATGAACTTGAACCAAGCATGGGGAGACTGGCGAAGTGTACTGGCCAGCGTGGGAGGTGATGTGTCCCGGCCCAGACTTGGAGTTGGCACACAGCAACTCCATGGAAAGAAGACTGCCCCTTTCCCTAAGTCCCGGGATACCCTTGCTGTTGTCACCCTTTGGTGCTCATGGCCAGCCTGGCTGTGAGGTGACACAAATCTGGGCTTAAGAGTGGGCAGAGATCCAGAGGCATCCCTGGGGCCCATTTCCCTAATCAGGAGAGGGCAGGTGCCACCTATGGTGCTGAATGCAGAGGGATGCTGTGTTCCTGGAGCTGGTGACAGGCAGGCAGGCCCAGGCCCAGGCACTATCTACTCACCGCAGCCCCCCCTGCATCCACCCCTCTCCCGTGGGTCTGACCTGGTTCAAATGGAATGCCTAGCAGGCTCTGCCTCCTCCCTGCCCCCACTGTTCCCCACGCCCATTGCTCAACGGCCACCCCTGCTTGTGTCTCCCCATGCAGTGGAAGGCCAGTGGCTAGAATGGGGTCCCTGGGGCCCGTGCTCCACCTCCTGTGCCAATGGGACCCAGCAGCGCAGCCGGAAGTGCAGTGTGGCAGGCCCAGCCTGGGCGACGTGTACAGGGGCACTCACAGACACCCGTGAGTGCAGCAACCTCGAATGCCCGGGTGAGTGCTCACTGCCAGGGCCGGGGGCAGGTGGCAGCCCCACCTCCGGGGGGCGACTGGGGCCACTCACGCCCCCCCCCTCCTCCCGCAGCCGCGGATAGCAAGTGGGGGCCGTGGAACGCATGGAGCCTGTGCTCCAAGACGTGCGACACGGGCTGGCAGCGCCGCTTTCGCATGTGCCAGGCCTCGGGTGCACAGGGCTACCCCTGTGAGGGCACCGGAGAGGAGGTGAAGCCTTGCAGCGAGAAGAGGTGTCCAGGTATTGGTCGCAGGCCCCCCCGGGAGGCTGAGGGGCAAGGCTGTGGGCCTGGCTGAGCCCCTACACTGCCCCCACAGCCTTCCATGAGATGTGCAGGGATGAGTATGTGATGCTGATGACGTGGAAGAAGGCAGCTGCTGGCGAGATCATTTACAACAAGTGCCCCCCCAACGCCTCAGGTTAGGGCTGTGGTGGCTCTCCCCAAAGCCCCCACCCCTGCCCTTTCTGCTCACCCCCTTTTGCTGCTCCCACCCCCCCACCCGTTTGAGCCTGCGAGCTCGGGTGTGGAGTGAAGTGGGTAGGAGTCCAGCCCCCACGCCCAACCCCGTGTCCCTTCCTATCCCCCCTGCAGGGTCTGCCAGCCGCCGCTGTCTCCTCAGTGCCCAGGGCGTGGCATACTGGGGTCTGCCCAGCTTCGCCCGCTGCATCTCCCACGAGTACCGCTACCTGTACCTGTCTGTGAGTGTGCCCCATGGGGCTGGGGCGGCACAGGATCTGTCCCAGGCTCGGGCAGGGGGTGGGGGGAGCTTGCCTCCTGCTCTGGCCCATGTGCCTTGGCAGACATATGCTGTCTGGCTGTACCTCTGCCTGGCTGTGCCCCTCCTTGCCCAGCACACTCCTACTCACATCTCAAGGCCCAACCATCAAGTGTCTTCCCTTGTTCCTGGCGGCTCCTTCTGTGCTCCTCTGGTCCCCCGAGCCTCCTGGTCATGAGGTGTCGTGAATGTTCATCAAAGTATCTGTGTCCCCTTAGACTGAGGGTTCCTTAAAGGCGGGCACAAAGTTGGATTATTTTTGTGTCCCCAGTGCCCAGCCCAGGAGGGCCTGCTGGGGGGGTAAGAATGTCGGTAGCGAATGTGGCCTCTGTATCGCGTGTGTCTGACTGTATTTGGTACCTGTGTGTTTGCACTCAGAGCTCGTGTTTGAGAGAGAGAGTGATAGTGAGGGTGCGTTACGCTTGGGAGCATGCCTGACCCCTCTGAGATGGGGAGGCGCCTCGTCCCTGTGCCATACTTGTCATCTTTTCTGTGCACATCTGAGCACCTCCCTTTTCTAGCTGTTTCTATTTCTGTCTTTTTCAAGTATCTTTAGGTCTTTTTCTTGGACTCTGTTTCCTATGAGCCCCTTTGAGCAGCTCTCTCTGACCTTTTCCCCCCTCTCTCTCCCTCTTGGAAGCAAGCAGTGGGTGGACCTGAGTGGGATGGGCCCGTGGCCGGTCCCAGCTCCTGACCCCGTGGTGACAGCAGCCCGCCTGTCCCCCGCAGCTTCGGGAGCACCTGGCCAAAGGGCAGCGCATGCTGGCAGGCGAGGGCATGTCACAGGTGGTGCGCAGCCTGCAGGAGCTGCTGGCCCGGCGCACTTACTACAGTGGGGACCTGCTCTTCTCCGTGGACATTCTCCGGAACGTCACGGACACCTTCAAGAGGGCCACCTATGTGCCCTCGGCTGATGACGTGCAGGTGCCACCCTGCCCCACCAGAAGGAAGGAGGGCACCCTAGACTGAAGTGGGGGGTTGGGACCTCATGGCAGAGTCTGTGTTTGGGGTGGCAGGGGAAGCCACTGTCCCTGGGGCTGGGACCTCCTGACTCCTGTGGCTTTTGTCCCCAGCGCTTCTTCCAGGTGGTGAGCTTCATGGTGGACGCAGAGAACAAAGAGAAGTGGGATGACGCTCAGCAGGTGAGGGACGGGGCTTGCAGGCTCCACCCCCCAGGACCCACCCCTGCCTGGGACCCTTATATATTCTCTGTCTCCAGGTATCCCCTGGCTCTGTGCACCTGCTGCGTGTCGTGGAGGACTTCATTCACCTGGTGGGCGATGCCCTCAAGGCCTTCCAGAGCTCTCTGATTGTCACAGACAACCTGGGTACCAGGAGGCAGGCTAGGGAGCCGGGGCTGGAGAAGGCAGAACCCAGGCCACTGTGGGGGAGGGATGGTTTCTGCGGGTCTCTTGCTACTTTTCTGTCTCTCTGGGTCCTCTCTTTCCTTCATTTAACCCCTTCTTTGTATCTCTGTCCCTGTCTTTTCTCCCCTTCTCCCTACCCCGACCCGGTTGTTTTTCTTTGCGCGTGTCCCCCACCTGCGTGTTTTTACCAACCTTGGTGTCTGCGTCTGCCTTCCTGTCATCTGTCTCTCCCCTTTCTGTTTCTTTTCCTGTGACTCTCCTGGCCGCCTCTGTCCCTCTGTCTCTGGTGCCGGTCGCAGTGATCAGCATTCAGCGTGAACCAGTCTCGGCTGTGTCCAGTGACATCACATTCCCCATGCGCGGCCGCAGGGGCATGAAGGACTGGGTGCGGCATTCGGAGGACCGCCTTTTCCTACCTAAGGAGGTGCTCAGCCTCTCCTCCCCGGGGAAGCCAGTTGTCTCTGGCCCAGCGGGCAGCCCTGGCAGGGGGAGGGGCCCAGGAACCGTGCCCCCTGGCCCCGGCCACTCCCACCAGCGCCTCCTGCCGGCAGACCCCGAGGAGTCGTCCTCCTACTTTGTGATCGGTGCTGTGCTCTACCGCACGCTTGGCCTCATCCTGCCTCCCCCCAGGTGAGTCCCCAGGGAAGGGTGGATGGGGCCACCCAGGTGAGAGAAGGAGGACTGAGCCTGTGCTGGCCACGGGGAGCTCCCTCCGCAGCCTCCTGGACCTTGGTCACTGTTGCCTGGCTAGGGACACAGGGGCTCCCAGAGTCTTTATGGGGACTGGGGCTGTTGGACTGAGCTCTAGAGCTCATATGAAGTCCCGGGCCCCACTGAACTCTAGGCCTTTCCTGGGCCATGGCTCCCTGGTAGCCCCCTGCCCCTGATCTAGAGCGCCTCCGGGGTTCTTGCCTGGGTCTGGGCCCCACTGGCACGAGCTGACCTCAGTACCTGTCCCCAGACCCCCACTGGCCGTCACATCCAGGGTGATGACAGTGACCGTGCGGCCACCCACCCAGCCACCAGCTGAGCCCCTAATCACAGTGGAGCTTTCGTACATCATCAACGTGAGTGGGGGTCCAGACAGTAACCTTGGGGTACCCCATTGCGGGCAGCCAAAGCCCTGTCCGATAGCAGTCTGAACCTCTGGCTTGTGGGGGGTCTGCTGTGGCAGGATGGGTAGTAGTCTGGGGGAGCTCCCCGCCCCATGCTGTGCTCATGACTTCTCCCCAGGGTACCACGGATCCCCACTGCGCCAGCTGGGACTACTCCAGAGCGTGAGTTGGGTGGGGGCTCTGCTGGGGTGGGGGGTGCAGCTCTAGCACCTCTCTGTCAGGGGGCTGTCTCTCCTGGAAAGCAAGAGAGTTCTCTGGGGCTGTCCTTGGCTGGAGGGATCCAGGGTTCATCCTGGGGCTCCCAGCCACTGGCCTCACCCTGGATTTCCTCTAGCTCTGGGGGTGGGGCCACAGAATTGGGCTGGGTATCACTCCACCTCTCCCCTGACTCCAGAGATGCCAGCTCAGGGGACTGGGACACCGAGAGCTGCCAGACGCTGGAGACACAAGCAGCCCACACTCGCTGCCAGTGCCAGCACCTGTCCACCTTTGCTGTGTTGGCCCAGCCGCCCAAGGACCTGGTGAGCAGGAGGGAGGTGCCTGGGCTGGGAGAGCGGCAGGGGATGCTCCCGGGTTGCCAGGAGCCGTATGTGGCGGTGTCGGCGGAGACCTGGGTGATCCCGCACACAGGTCCGAGCAGGTGTACTTGGGGGACTGCACACATAAGTCCGTGCCACTGGGAGGGTGCTTACAGGGACGACATGTGCCTGGGGGCAACTGCATGTGTGTACACACACGTACATGTCTGGTTGTGTGTAGTAGAGTGTGGGTGACCGAGCCTAAATGCACATCCGCGTGTGTGACTGTGTCTGCCCGTGCACACGTAGATGCGGTGGGGAGTTCCATCCCGTGTGTGAGTGTGGGTGAAGGTGTAGGTGCCCGTTGGTGCAGGACAGGGTGTGGGGAAGGGGCGGGCCCCCCAGCAGCTGCCCAGCCCTGTGCCCTCATGGACCACCTACTCATCCTCCCTAGACCCTGGAGCTGGCAGGCTCCCCCTCGGTCCCCCTCGTGATCGGCTGTGCCGTGTCCTGCATGGCACTGCTCACCCTCCTTGCCATCTACGCCGCCTTCTGGAGGTAGGTGGGACGCTGGGCGGGGTGAGGCGGTGGGGGGTGGCCAGCCAGCCTCGCTTGGACGCGGTGGCTAGCTCCTCTGCCCCTGCCTGCCATGCCCTCTCAGGTTCATAAAATCCGAGCGCTCCATCATCTTGCTGAACTTCTGCCTGTCCATCCTGGCTTCCAACATCCTGATCCTCGTGGGCCAGTCCCGGGTGCTGAGCAAGGCAGGTGCAGGTCACGGGTGCCAGGGTGAGGGAGGAGTGAAAGGGCTGAGGGCAGAAAGCGCTTGCTGGGGACCGTGCAGTGGCAGCTGTTTGTAAACACCCGAGCCCTGTGCTGGGGGAGGGACTGAGCGGGAAGGAGTGTGTGTGAGTGTATGTGGGGCCGTTGGAGAGGGGTGTGTACCCGAGGGGTGACTGTCCCTGTGCCTCTGGGAGCACGTCTGTGAGCTGAGCTCCTGTGCTCATGCATTGGGCCGCCTTGGGTCTGCGGGAGCCCGAGCAGGGCTTTTCATGCCACCTGCCTGTGGGTGACCTTGGCTGGCTGTCCCCTCTGCCCCCTCGGCCGGCTCTGCGAAGCACCAGGCGGGGGCCCGTCTGGCTATGACGTGGCAGCGGCTCCTGTCCCCTCCCTGCCAGCCCTGTCTGCGTGTGGGTGGCCTGCCCGCCCGCCTCCCGGATGTCGAGTGCTGTGTGCATGTCACTGGGCCCGTGTCGTGCTGTGTGTGGGTACAGAGAGGCGGGGGTGCCTGACAGGGCTCTGTGGGGGGACGGAATGGAGCTCAGGTGGGCGGCCATGGCAGCGCCCAGCGGTGGATGTGGGAAGCCCGGCGCCTCCCGCCCTGGTGGCTGCTCAGGGCCACTCCCTCCCTCCCGTCTCCCTGCAGGGTGTCTGCACCATGACTGCCGCCTTCTTGCACTTCTTCTTCCTCTCCTCCTTCTGCTGGGTGCTCACGGAGGCCTGGCAATCCTACCTGGCTGTCATCGGACGGATGCGTACCCGCCTCGTTCGCAAGCGCTTCCTCTGCCTGGGCTGGGGTGAGCAGGGCCTGTGCCGGACTCTGTCGCTGGGCTTTGAGGGCAGGAGCAACGGGACAGGGTCAGCTTTGGCCCTGGCCCGGCTCTCTGGGCCCAGGGTCAGCTGTGTTGGGGCTGGGAGGCTGAGAGGACGCCGAGAACCCGCAGCCATCTCACTGTGGCCCTCCCCTGCTCCTCCAGGTCTGCCGGCCCTGGTGGTGGCTGTGTCTGTCGGCTTTACCCGCACCAAAGGATACGGTACATCCAGCTAGTACGTGGGCCTCCTGCGGTGGGCAGCAGGGCGATGAGTGGACCTGTTTGCGCATCACATTGGGCGTGGGGTATACTCAGGCCGCGGTCCTAGCCCTTGCCTGCTGTGCTTGGGGCAAAATGTTGCCTCTGAGCCTCTGTATCCCTGACTGTAGAAGGATATGCTGGGATTGGGGATAATCCAATCCAAAGAACTGTTTAGCTTAGGGGTCAGATCACCGTTAGATACCCATGGTGGGCTCAGGGCTGGGTCTTTGTTAGAGAGGAAACAGGCTCAGCAGGAGCCCAAGGCTCACTGTCACCCAGCTGGAGGCTCTGCCCCACCGACAGCCCAGGGGGCACTGAGCGGTGGTGTGTCTGACGCCCCCTCTTTTCCCTCCACCCCAGCTGCTGGCTCTCCCTGGAGGGCGGCCTGCTCTATGCCTTTGTGGGCCCTGCAGCTGTCATTGTCCTGGTATGTGCCCCGTTAGCTTCCTGGGAAGGGTGTGGCCGTAGGGGCTCTATCCTCTCCCTGCACTCCAGCTCCCACCTGGGGGTTTCCCTACTAGGAGGGCACCTGGTGATCCCGTCTCTCCCCCCACCCCTCACTGGGCCCCCAGGTGAATATGCTCATTGGGATCATCGTCTTCAACAAACTCATGGCACGTGATGGCATCTCCGACAAGTCCAAGAAGCAGAGGGCCGGGTAAGGGGGCTGCGACTTGGCCTTGTGGGAAATGGTGCAGGGAGGGCAGGCCGGGCCTCTCAGAGACTCAGGGCTTGCCGATGCAGCCGGGGCTCCCTGACCTTGGTGCATCAAGGGTGCAGGCAAGGTGGGCACCTGGAGTGCTCCACTGCATCCCCTCACCCACCCTAACCCACCTCTTTCTCTCTCGTCTGCCCTCCCCCTCCCACCCCACTTGGGGCTCATGCTGCCCCGTCTCCTCCCGCTTCCCATGTGTCTCCCCCCCTCTCCCGTGTCTGTGCCGCCCCCGAGGTCGGAGCGGTGCCCCTGGGCCAGCCTGCTCCTCCCCTGCTCAGCGTGTGGAGCGGTCCCCAGCCCCCTGCTCAGCTCAGCCTCGGCCAGGAACGCCATGTTAGTTGTGCCCCCCGGGGGGGAGGGGGTGGGGGCGGGCGGGGGCAAAAGAAATGGGGGGCAGTGCCCATGGTTGGGGGGAGGAGGGATATCAGCCCAGTGCCCTGAAAAGCTTGCCCTGCCCTGCCAACTGCCACACACTCTCAAGGGCTTGGCACTGATGCAGCAAAGGGCAACGGGGAGTGAATGTCTGTGCCTCTTGGAAAATGCTGGGTTTCCTGTGCCCACCCCTTGCTCCCACCCCTGCCCCCCACTCCCAGCTTATGTTTTATCCAGGCACAGCTGCAGAGCCCTCCTTACACCACCCCCCCAACCTACAGAGGCTTTTAGAATCTTAGGCCCTTAGAATTCTTGAGCTCATAGAACCTTAGAATGATAGAATCTTAGAATAAGACAATCAGAAGCTAAGAATGTTAGAATGAGTGAATCATAGTCTTATCATTTGTCACAGAATCTGAGGTTTAGAATTTTAGAGACATTGAATCTCACAATCAATTGGGGGGACAGAGAATCTAACAGACGGAGAACTATTTCACCAACATAACCCCCGGAGGCGGAGAATCCTAAAATCAGAGCCACTTAAGAGCAGAATGAGTGAATGAATGAATCCACAGGGGCCTTGGGCCCAACCTCCTCCTACCCAGGGCCAGAAATCCATTGGAGCCTCCCTGACCAGTGGGGGTCCAGCTTTATCTTGCACACCTCCTGGGTCAGGGAAGCTCACGGCTTCTGGAAGCAGCTGGCACCATCTCTGGGAAGCTGTGTGTGGTAGAAAGCTCCCTCTCCCTCGGGCTTCCGTCTGCCTCCCTGACCCAGTCTCTCAGAACTAGCAGTTAAAAGTCTGGGCTTTGGAGGCGGCCAGGCTGGGTCTGCATTCCAGCTCTGTCTCTCTCTCCCAGTTGGGCACACTCCAGTTTCCTCATCTGTAAATTGGGATAATAATCCCCATGCCTGTTTACTGGCGTTGTTTTGATCACAGTGTGAACTAATGTATGTAAATTGTTCAGTGTAGGGCCTGGCAGAGGATTGGTGGTTAATCAATGGTAGCTCTTATGACTGTGATTAGGCCCTTTCTGAGTCTTGGCTGCGCCCCCAGGGGCTGTGGAGACCACTGTGCCCGCCCCCTGCCAGGCTGAATAGCCCCCAGCTTCTCTTCCTAGGACAGGTCTTGGCCCCCTGCCCATCTCTCTGCCTTGTCTGGGGCTGTTCCCACCCCTGCCTGACTCTCCTGCCGGGGTGTTCACGAGGCAGAGTAGGCTGGGCGTGGCACCTGGCCCAGTAGGGCAAACTTGCCCTGCTGTGCCCACGTGGGCCCTAGCTGGTGAGGGTGGGCTGGCTCTGGGGCCTGGATGCCAGGGCACGTCTACCTCTTTCCTTGGCTGTCCCTGCTCAAGGAGTGTGTGGGGGGGTGTGGGTTTGGTCATGACCCCAGCTTTTCTGGCCAGCCCCAGCTATGCACTTTCTGCCCAGGGCTCTGAGCACCGCCCCCCCCCCCCCCCTGCAGCCTGGCACAGCCTCCTTGAGGGGGAAGAGGCTCTGCTGCCCCGGGCCTGGGCCCATCCCCAAAGATGTGTGCGCTCACGTCCTCCGTGCTCTCTGACTGCTAGATCTCTGTGTCGGCCTGCCTCATGCTCTCTCCCTCCTGCGTCTGCTGTCTCTCCGTATCCGGCCCCCTCCCGCCTCTCCTGGAATCTCTGGGGGTGCATCCCAGGCCTGTGATTCCACGCAGATTGGGGCTGAAAGTCAACAGCATCTGCATCTGCCTCCCTCCCGGTCTTCTCTCCCATCCAGCTCTGTCCACTTACTTGCTCGGGTCTCCATGCCGGGACGCTGGCTCTGGCTGAGCCCCGCCCTCTCGACCCCTCCCACCTCTCCTCCGCCACGCTCTGGCCCCCGCTGCAGCCCTTCTCCGCTCTGTCTCTGGTCTCTGTCTCTCTGCCGTGGTCTCCTGGCCTCTGTCTGCTTGGGGACATGGCTGAGGTCTTGGAGTTTGGCCCTCTGCCAGTCTTGGGCGTCTTACGGGCCCCAGGCCGAGCGCGGGCCTGGACTCAGCAACCCCGTCCCCGGAGGGTCACTCTGATGGGCCCTCTGCTGCCGTTCTCAGGGCCTCGCTCTGGAGCTCCTGCGTGGTGCTGCCGCTGCTGGCGCTCACCTGGATGTCGGCCGTCCTGGCCATGACAGACCGGCGCTCCGTCCTCTTCCAGGCTCTCTTTGCGGTCTTCAACTCCGCGCAGGGTTTCGTCATCACAGCAGTGCACTGCTTCCTGCGCCGGGAGGTGGGGCTGGGCTTCTCCCCGCCCCTTCCCATCCGCCTCACCTGTGCGGACGGGGCGGAGCCAAGCCCCAAGGTTTGGGGAGGGGGCGCTCCTAGCTGGGTGCGGAAGCTGGTTGCTTGGGGAGGTCTTGACCTTGGCCTTTGGGCCTCCGGGGCTCCTTCTCCCCTCTGACCTTCCACACCCACCTGGGTGCCTGGGGTGGGAAGCACAGCCAGCTGTGGCCAGGGGGCCTGTGGTGGCCTGAAGCCCAGCAGGTGCCCGCTGCCCCCAGGTCCAGGACGTGGTGAAGTGCCAGATGGGCGTGTGCCGGGCGGATGAAAGTGAAGACTCCCCGGACTCCTGTAAGAACGGGCAGCTGCAGATCCTGGTGAGCGAGGAGGCTGAAGCAGGCTGTGGGTGGGTTCTGAACATGCTCCCCCGCTCCAGTCCTCCTGCCCCGGGATGAGAGACAGGGAGGGGACAGAGACCCGGTCTGAGTCAGGCCCAGTCACTGACAGCTTGGTGGCATCAGGCAGGTCCTCTCCCCTCTCAGTTTTCCCACCTGTTGGGTGAGGCTGGAGAAGACCCCGTCTGGGCTCTGTCAGGCACTATGCCAAGGGCAGCCCCTCTGGGTGGCTGGGGAGGGGCGAGCCCCCTGCCCCCACCCTGATACATGGATCCTCTCTCTGCCCATCTGCTCTGTTCCTCTCTGCCTATAGTCAGACTTTGAAAAGGATGTGGATCTGGCCTGTCAGACAGGTGAGTCTGCCTGAGAGCCGAGAATGGCCCCTGAGAGTGGGCAGGAAGGGAGGGCCTGTTAACGGTCTGGTTGTGGAGTTTAGTCAGAGAGCCCGAAGTTGGAGTCAAAGCTGTGAACACCACTTACTGTGTGACTTTGGGCAAAGGGCTTATTTCTCGGAGCCTTAACTGAATTAGGGGACATCAAATGCCCAACAGGATGGTTGGTATGCAGTGGCTGTCACGTTGTTGTATCATTTCCATGCTTCGTACCAGAATCCACTTTCCACTTCTGGCTCCTGGGGAGGAGCTACCGGGCCAAGGCAGGGAAAGGAGCAAGGCCATTTTGACAGTCTTGGGGCTGTGGGGGTCAGAGGTCAGGACCTGCACTGGGAGCTGACCGTGGGAGCTAGGCCTTGGCTTCATCCCTCGCCCTGCCTTGCTGTGGGGCTCTGGGCCGGTCTGACCCCTCTTCTCAACCCATCTGGTATGTGAGAGAGTGCCTCCCGCATAGCCATCTCTCCAGGACTGTTTCCTCTCCTTGGACTCAGTCCAAGCTCAGGAGCTTGGAACCCATCCAGCCTGGGCCAGGGCATCGGGGACCCCTCCTCCTCAGGACTTACCTCTCTCCCACTCCTGCCCTCAGTTCTGTTCAAGGAGGTCAACACTTGCAACCCATCTACCATCACGGGCACACTCTCCCGCCTGTCCCTGGACGAGGACGAGGAGCCCAAGTCCTGCCTCGTGGGTCCTGAGGGCGGCCTCAGCTTCTCACCGCTGCCCGGGAATATCCTGGTGCCCATGGCGGCCTCGCCAGGGCTGGGGGAGCCCCCGCCCCCGCAGGAGGCCAACCCCGTGTACATGTGTGGTGAAGGCGGCCTGCGGCAGCTGGATCTCACATGGCTGCGGCCCGAGCCGGGCTCCGAGGGGGACTACATGGTGCTGCCCCGGCGGACTCTGAGCCTGCAGCCCGGCAGCGGGGGTGGAGCTGGCGAAGAACCCCCAAGGGCCCGGCCCGAGGGCACCCCTCGGCGCGCTGCCAAGACGCTGCCCCACCCTGAAGGCTACCCCAGCTTCCTGTCTGTGGACCACTCAGGCCTGGGGCTGGGCCCTGCCTATGGGTCCCTACAGAACCCCTACGGGATGACCTTCCAGCCACCCCCGCCGACGCCCAGTGCTCGCCAAATACCTGAGCCAGGGGAGCGCAGCCGGACCATGCCCCGTACTGTGCCAGGCTCCACCATGAAGCTGGGCTCCTTGGAGGTGAGGGGCCATAGGGCGTGGGGTGGGTTGGGGGAGGCCTGCCCCCATGGGCCCCAGATGATGTCTGAGTAGCAGGCAGCAGCCAGGGAGGGACAGCAGGCGCTGCCCCCTGCCAAGCGGCTCCTTTGTGCCAAGTGGCTGGGAGTGTGTACACCATGCCTTTCTTCCTCGCTGTTGCTCCTACCGGCACAAAGGAATTCTGGCTTCTCTGGACTCAGATGGGCTGGGACTCCGTGTGCAGAGGGCGCACTTTTCATGCTTTCCTGCTTGCTTCGGTTCCTCCTTTGAGGCGACTGATTAGGACGGGTCTTCCTTGGAGGGGCGCAGTGCTGGGTTGTTAGGGAAGCCACATCAGGGGCTGGGAGCCCAGGTCGCTGAGTCTGGCAGGTCTGAGTTTGGATCTGAGCACCACCGATCAGCCGTGAGGTCCCGAGTGTCATCTTTCTCCAGGCCTCAGTCTCCTTGTTTGTAAAGAGGGCAGCCTCATTGTAGAGTTGTTCCGAGGACTAATTGAGTGGTATAAATGTTTGTGTATTTGTGGAGCAAGTAGAAAGTGCTAGATAATTGGAAATTGATGCTGTTAACATCCCTGAAATCAGCCTCAGGCACTGGCCCTAGGCCTCTGGTCGTGGACCCTTTCTTCCTGAAAAACGCCCCTGAGAAAAGCCTCTCTTCCTGAGAAAAGCCCCTTTGTCTCCCTGCCTGTGTGTTTTCTGTGGATGCCCCACCTTCCCTCCAGCTTCCTCAGGGAATTACTGGGAACAAGCAGGTGACAAGCAGTGAGCCACTGTAGAACTCTAAGACATTCTAGAACTCTGGAGGGATGATGGAAATACAGATAAGGATGGGCTGGAGTCACAGCTCAGACACCGTAGGCTGCTCGTGTTTGGCCTCCGACATCTCTCCTCATCCTCCGCACAAAGGAAATTAAGTTAGCAGCTAGAGGTTTGCAAGTTTAGTTTCTCTCCCAAAAATGTTTCTTGAACATTTGGTGCCCGCTCCTGCTGCAGATGGCAGAAACAGGAAGGCATAACAAAGACAAAACGACACCAGAGCCAGGGAGGAGCTCAGTCGGCGTCACGGCAGGTTTTGTTCTGTGGACACCTGCCCGGGGCTGGGCCACGGAGGAGGGGCCAGTTTTGGGCTCTGTGTGTGGGAGGTAGCAATAAATGTGGTGGTGTCTTGAGGGGTCAAGGATGACGTCCAGGATTCTGGTGCAGACAACTGCAGTGGAGTGGAGGCGGAGGAATGGGTTTGGGGTGGGGAATTCGGAGTTTTTTTAGTTGGGCACAGCTGTGTGTGTGGTGCCTGTGGGCAACAGGGGACAGGAAGAGATGTCCTGCTGCCTCCAGAAAGAGAGATGTGGCCAGAACAGGGAGGGCACACGCGTGGTGGTGCTTGGTCAAGGGCACGAGAAAGTCTAGGGCTGAGCATGGAGGGCCTCATCCAGGGGAAGCCAGGGATGGTGGGAAGATCAGGAGGGCGTGGTGTCATGGAGGCCAGTGGCGATGATCATGTCTGCTGGGCCCAGGACTTAGGAAATCTTAGCTGGTGGTCTTAGCATCATCCCTGAGGGCCTTGGGGGAAGTCCCTTCCCCTCCCCAGACCCCAGTTTCCCCAGGGTAACCCAGGACAGTTGACCTTGCTTTCATGAGTACTCCTGGTGCCAACACTAAGACTCTCAGGCCTCATCCTTGAACAGTACTGTACACTGCATAGGTCCACAGGGCCTTGAACGTTTCGTGCTCTTAGGCAAGCGAGGGGCTGGAGGGGTACAGAGGCCAGGGAGGCAAGACCTGGTTTGTCAGCAAGGCGGGGTCCAAGGAAGGACTGAAAACTGAGTCCTTGTGTTCACCGGGCAAGTGGAAGTTTCCAAGGAGAGGGGCGCCTATGGCTGGCAGAGAATGGGGCAGGATGGGGTGAAAGGTAAAGTCTGGGGCCCAGAGGAGGGACGGTCTACTCTGTGATCCCATGTAGAAATCCATGTTTCGGTGACACTTGGCTGGGGTGTCTGTGGTGTGTCTGTCTGCAGGTCTGGGTGTGTGTGGGCCTTGCAGGAGCGGTGGGAATGCGGGGCTGCAGTGGGGTCACACCTCAGCTCCTCATCCCCCAGGCTTCTGTCCTATTGCTCCAGTCCCAGGGCTCCCCTTAAGAGCTCCTGGCTCCTGGGCCCGGGCTGGCAGTGGGGTGTGAGGGCAGATGTGGAGTACCAGGGCTCCTGCTCTAAAGCCCCCACGTGCAGTTAAAACACTTTCTTCTCCTTCACTGTCTCCTTGTTGTCCTCTCCCAGCGAAAGAAGTTGCGATATTCAGACCTGGACTTTGAGGTAAGTGGTGCGTGTGTGTGTGCGTGTGAGTGTGTTGGGGGGCATCTGTTCCATGGTGTCTGTCCCCAGAGGGTCCATTCCTAACATGAGCCAAAGCTTCCCTGCAGAGCCTGACCCAAGGACCACAAGCACATGGCTTCCGTGGGCATCTTCCTACCATTCTCCAGTCCGAGCCCAAGCTCAGATCTGGGAAGTCGAGGGAGAGTGGGGCCTTGTCCTAGGGGGCCAGCGGCAGGCAGAGATGTGGAGTGCCAGGATGCTGGGGAGCAGGGGTAGAGGCTAGTTCACCGTGCTGCCCGGTGCAGTGCCCTTCCCCTCCTCTGACCCTCTGTGGCTCCCAGAAGGTGATGCACACCCGGAAGCGGCACTCGGAACTCTACCACGAGCTCAACCAGAAATTCCACACTTTCGACCGCTACCGCAGCCAGTCCACAGCCAAGGTGAGGGCCCCTCCCGAGTGTTCCCTGTCCACAGCTCCGGGCCCAACCCGACACAGGGCCCCCAAGGGTCGGACCTGGACCCGTGGCCCCCGTTGCAGAGGGAGAAGCAGTGGAGTGCGTCCTCAGGTGGGACAGCCGAGTGGAGCATGTGTAGTATAAGTCCCCCGGGCTGGGTCAGAGTCAGGGTCAGGCGGGCTGTGAGGGGCTTCTGCCCTCCCAGCCCTCCTCCCCTTCCTGGGCAACCTCAGCCCGCCTCACCACGGGCCTACCCATGGCATAAGTGACAGTTCTGGGGCTGCCTGGGCATGGGGAGCCTTGCTGGGGCTCCGGCAGGATCTCGAGGAGGATGGGCACATAGAAGACATGAACCCTAGGGGCCTCTCAGTGCACAGGGCTCATTCCTCCAGCTCTGGAGCCAAGCAGATCTGGGTCTGAACCCTACTCAGGCACCTGGATACTGGGTAACTTTGGGCTTTTCTGGTCCTCTCTGGGCCTCCTCTGCTTGTCCTGCCCAATGAGCGAGAGGGTATGGGTCCATCTCCACGGGTCATTCCCACTGCCTCTCACAGGAGAAGCCCAGCCCTGGGGAGCATCCCGGCTTGTCCCAACAGCGGAGACACCAGAGCTGGAGCACCTTCAAGTCGATGACGTTGGGCTCGCTTCCCCCCAAGCCCCGAGAACGGCTGGGCCTGCACCGAGCAGCCGCCTGGGAGCCCGCAGAGCCACCTGATGGTGACTTCCAGACAGAGGTGTGAGTGCACACCGGACTGCCCACTGCGTATAAATATATATATCTCTCTATTTTCACACTCCACTTTGGAACCACCCAGGAGCCGGCGCCCCCTCCCCTCTCCCAAGGGCTGGGCAGGGAGGCGCAGTGGACTCAGCCGGGCTGGGGGAGCCAGACATGGCATGGCCTGGGGGGGCCAGGGCCCTTCCCTGTTTCTCAGAGGCCCCCCATCTTCACCCCAGCTGTCTGTCCCTGTCCTGGGCTGGGGAGGGGGGAGGGAAACTTTGTCGGGAATAAACTTCACTCTGTGGATTTTGCTGCTGAGCTGTTTGCTTCCCGTGGGTGAAGGCCCAGCCCCGGGACCCCAATTTTGTTCCCCTGTCTCCTTGGTTCACCTCACTGGGTCTCCTCGAATTGTATAATGGGGTCAGGCCTACCCTGACTGGGAGGGGGCACCTGGGCTCTGACTCTGTCTTTGCCCCTGACTCCCTGGGTGACCTTGGGCACATCCTGTCTCCTGTCAGGGCCTGGGTTGGGGTAAGCAGATTGGGAATGTGGGAGGGGGCCCCTGGCAGCTGACCTTCCCCCTTGGCTGTGATGGTCATGGTTGCTATTCCCTGGGACTCACAGGCCAGACTGCCAGGGCTGGAGCCAAGGCAGAGCTTAGTGACCTTGGTTTCTGTGAAATAGGGCTGGTAATAGTACCCACCTCACAGGGTTGTTGAGAGGATGAGGCATGTTAATATGAGCAAAGTGCTGAGCGAAGGCCTGGCACGGGAGACACTTCTAAAGGCTTTTATCTATTATCTCTTGGCACTTGGTTTCGAGCTGTGCTCTGTGCTAGGAGCTTTGGACACACAACCCCTGATCCCTCAGAATAACTGGAAGGTTTTAGGTCTGTGGGTGGGAAAATCAGGCCAGAATTGGGAAGTGACTTGCTCAAGGCCACTATCAGAGTCAGAGCTGGGATTTGCAGCCCAGGCTCGGTGGGCAGTGGAGCTGCCTGCCTCCGTCTTTATCAGCCTCCCCCTGACAGGACAGGAAGCTGGAGCTCAGCTCCCTGGGACCTGAGCTTCCTGGCAGCAGGGGAGCAGCAGGGCGCTGGATGGCCATGGAGCCTCAGGGTCCAGGGCTCAGGGTGGGTGTAGAGGAGAGGGGCCAGAGGGCCAGGGTGGGAGGCTTATGCTGGGGTGTATTCCTCACACGCTGGAGTGGATGGTGGCGCCCAGGAAGAAGAGGTGTAGGATTGGCACATGGAAATGTCTTAGAGGGTGGGCAGTGGCGCTCCTGTGGTCAGGCAGCATTGTGAGCAGGGCCACAGGTGCGGCTGCCGGCCTGGTCATTCAGCAGCACAGGCACCCCTGGGCCACTCTCCAGGGACCCAGTCTCGGGTGGTTGACCCTTCAGAGGGAGGGGTTAGGTGCTGTGGGAGCCTAGATGGGGGAGAAGGGGGAAGGGACTGGCTGCTGCGGCAGGGGTCACAGCTAAAAGCCCCTGGAAGAGGGGCTGGCCACAAGGTCCAGGCTCCCCCAGTCTTCTCTGAATCCTGCCTGCTGTGGGCCTGGTCAGAGGAGCAGCAGCAGAGTCCTCAGACCTGTGCCTCTAGGCCCTGGGCTTTTCCAGGCCTCCTTGCCACCCCCCACCCCCCCGGCAGCCCAGGCACGCACAGTGCACAGGGCTCTCTCAGGAACGACCTCATTTGAGACTTGAAGGTAGGTACTGTGACTCCCCCATTTGACAGATGAGAAAATCAGGGCTCAGAGAGGGGACATGACTTTCCCAAACACACACCTTGTAAATGACTATACTGGGGCCTGTGGCTGTGAGGGGCAGACTCTTGATCCCAGCCAGCCTGCATAAAAGGGAACTTTGTTCATTCAGGAGTTGCAAGCTTCAGGGAAGATAGCGGTGGGCATGTGTGGTTGTCCATAGGTCTTGGGACCCAGGGTGAGGGTGCCTCCAGATGATCTGTCCCTTACAGCTGCTCTGTGTCAGCTTCATTCTTTTAGGCAAGCTTCCTCACTGCCCCCAACTAGGCTTCCTAGCTCCTGTCACTGGCTTTGCCCCCAAAGAGGAAGAAACTTTCTTTTTTTTTTTTTTTTTTTTTAAGAGTTTTTATTTATTTATTTGACAGAGAGAGATCACAGGTAGGCAGAGAGGCAGGCAGAGAGGCAGGCAGAGAGAGAGGAAGGGCGGGGGGAAGCAGGCTCCCTGCTGAGCAGAGAGCCCGATGCGGGACTCGATCCCAGGACCCTGAGATCATGACCTGAGCCGAAGGCAGCGGCTTAACCCACTGAGCCACCCAGGCACCCCAAGAAACTTTCTTTTAAATTCCAATCAGAAACTCCCCAAGAAAGGGCTGTGTATGGCCCAGGTAGAGGTTGGGTGCTGTGATGGGCGCAATTAGCATAAACAAAGGCCCTGGTCTTGACCTTGGGCCAGCAGTGACAACCACCACCCCCGCCCCCAGCCACGGGCCAGGCTTTCTTTTGAGCTACCACCTAGTGCCTTCTCAGTGTCTTTCCTATATTCCTATCTCCTTTCTTCCTGGCCTTGGGTTTCGCTGGCCACCACGGGGTTCTCTGGGGCTGAGCTACCATGCACTTTCCCCTCCCCTCTCGCGGTTTCTCACTGTGCATCTGGATTAAGGCAGTTTAGTATTCACCTTGTTGATTCTGCTCAAGCAGCAACCACAGCAGCAGCGCAGAGGCTCCCGAGGCAAGAAACTCACATCTGTGGTCAGGGCCAGAGCTTTCCTGGGCTGAAGCTCTGTGTTTCTTGGCCCCACAGTCCTCACTCCCCCAGGCACTGACTAGCAGCAGCAGGTGTGACCTTAGACAGCCTTGCCCCCTATCAGCAAAGCCCTATCAGCCTTGAGTTTCCTTATCTGTAGGCCTGTTAGTCCTTCTTTCAGGGCTGATAGCAATCAACCTATCGTTTCTTTCCTGTACTTGAATCTCTCTGCTCATCATCCTCCTTATTCTCTCTGCCTCCTGTCTCCAGGATTTTGTCCACCTGGCCTGCCCATTGCCCTGCCCAGAAGCCTCCTAGGGATCCTAGAATTAGCCTAGAATGCAAGACCCTTGGTGATGTGACCCTTGTCTACCTCTCCTAACCTGTCTCTCTCACCTCTGTGCCTAGGCACATGCTATTTCTTCTGCTTGGAACTCCCCTCCTGCTCACACCAGCAAATCCCTTCACCCTTCTAGATCCAGCCCAAGTGGCCCATCTATGAAGCCATCCCTGAACTCCCCATCTCAGCCCTGGCACACACTTTCTCTGTCACATTGCTCGCAGAACTGGTGATAGTCACGTTGATGTGGTTCATGTTTGTGAGCTCAGTCGAGGGCTCCAGAGTAGGCATCAGCAGATCTTTACTAACTGAACAGAGGGAATGCACAAACCAGCGTTGGTTTCTTCATCTGCAGAATGAAGATATCTATAATTCCTACCCAGCCTTCCTTGCTGGTATTATTCCTGGGGAGCATTTGCCAGTGACCTGTACACAGTACCAGGCTCAGAGGGAAGCCAGGGCGCTGTCCGGGGTGCTGAAGGGGACATGCCGCCCTCCCGAGAGATAGGACAGCCCCAGAGGCTCACCCAAGTTCAGCCGCAGCTTCCCTTGCCTTCCGGGCCATGGCAGGGTCACGGGTGAGCAGACCAGCCCTACCTTTGTAAGAACAGACCCTGGGACAATGTCCAACAAGAAAATGAAATGTACATACACAATTGTAAATTTCAAATTCTCTTGTAGCCATTTTTAAAAAGAAAAAAGGTGAGATTTATTTTATTTGTTTGTTTGTTTTTAAAGATTTTATTGCCTATTTGTCAAAGAGAGAGAGAGCACAAGCAAGGGGAGCATCAGGCAGAAGGAGAAGCAGGTTCCCTGCTGAGCAGGGAGCCTGATGGGGGATTCAGTCCCAGGACCCGGGGATCACGACCTGAGCCAAAGGGAGATGCTTAACAAACTAAGCCACCCAGGCACCCGAGATTTTAAAAAAATAATATATTTAGCCCAATATGTAGAAGACATCATTTCAACACATACTCCATAAATTACCAACGACATGCTTTATGTTCTTTTTCATACTAAGTCTTTGAAATCTAGTGTTTGTTTCACATGAACAGCACATCTCAATTCAGCCTGGTGACATTCTGAGTCTTCAGTAACCATGTGTGGCTAGTGGCTACCATACTGGATGGCACAGCTCTAGACAGAATAAAGACATTGACCTTGGACAAGTCAGTTTAGTGTCATCTGTGGAAAGGAGGTCACAAGTACCACTTGCCTCACTGAGTCATGGTGAGGGTTCAAGAAGGTGACGCAGGGAAGAGTCCCAGCACAGTACCAGCATGAAGTAGGTCCTAAGTCAGTGTTCCTAGAATCTAGGTATTCAGGGAATATAGGTGGACAGGGAGGGGGGTGTCCCAAGGAGACCTTTCCCTCACCCCACAGCCTGTCTTCCTTCCTTCTACCTGCAGCCCCAGACCCTGGGAGAAGGGAGGCAGGTTAGGACTGGCACTTGAACAGACATAATAAAACTCAGTAGGGTTTAATTCGCTTCCATTAGGCACCAATTAAAAAGAAATTAGGTGACCAAGGAGGCCTGAGGGAGACCCTGGATGCAGGATGCTGTGAACTTCTGCCTCTCTGGACTTAGTTTCCTCAAGGCTTCTTGCCTACCGTGGCAGTTCATGAGGTCCCACAGTTGGGCTTTTAAGGGCCAGTCCCTAGCACCCCCTATTATTCTTCCCTGCACTTCTCCAAGGCCACCAACCCCAGGAAGATCCCTACCCTCTCAGGCCCTCAACATACATCTTAATGTCCAGGACAGGGGAGCCTCCCACAAGGGCTTTGGCATGCGGGCTAGTGGGAAGTCAAGAAGAGTGTAGAGCCAGGGACCAGCATGATCAGATTTATTTATTAACAGGATTGCACTGAGTGGATGGGAAATGGATGGGGGTGGGTTATTAACAAAGAGTAAGGATGGATGCAGAGAGACCAGTGAGGGGACCATACATGAAGGGAACTTAGAGTAGAGGGGGCACAGAATCTATATGTATGTAGTGGGTGGAGTTGTCGGCCCCTGATAAGGACAGTATGGGAAGGAGCCAAGGACAACTCATGGGCTTCTTTCTTATGATGGACAATTGTGCCATTAGATATGGAGCACCAGAAGAGAACCAGCTTTGGGGGAGACACATTATGACTTTGGCCTTGAATGTGTTAACCTGGAAATACCTTGGAGGTAGTCAAAGGGGAATTTCAAGTAGGAAGTAGGTGGTCAGACTCACGGAAGTGGAACACAGAG